GAAGAAGTTTTTCCTGATATCTAGCTTAAATCTTCTCTCTGTCAGTTTGACCATTGTTCCTTGTTACCCCAAGAGGCACTCTGGTGAACAGAGCATCTCCGATCCCTATGATTCCCTTTCTGCTTCTGTGGTGCTGGAAAGGAATCTCATTTACACAGAGAAGTTTCCTAGTAGAGCTGTGCCAGGAATAATTATTTCACTGTAAACGATTACATTTGGGATATAACTCATCTATGTCACAGCCTCTTAATTTATTTATGAGAATAGGATGCAATACTGTATTGAAGGCCTTGCTAAAGTCCAAGAAAACGACATCCACCTCTACTCCTGCGTCTAAGCATTTTGTGACCCTGTCATAAAACAAAACCAGATTGGTCAGGCATGATCTACCTGCTACAAATTCGTGCTGGTTTCCCTGCTGCATTATCTTCCCTGCTGGACTCCCACAAATATGATCCTTCATAATCTTTTCAAAGACCTTTTCAAGGATTGAAAACAGGGACTGCATTGGTCCTTTTCCAGTCCTCCAGGACCTGACCCGAGTGCCCCGAGCACTCAAACACCCGTGCCAGTGGTTCTGCTATGACACCAGCCATCACAGAACAGGGTGGTAATATAAAGGAAGACATTAAAGGAAGAATGGAAGCAGGAATTAGCTTTGCACAGGTCCTGTCATTGAACCTTATCCAAAAAAAAAAAACAACTAAGCTTCAAGTACTATAAAACCATAATCAGGACATTTATAATCTGTGGCAGTCAAAACTGGGTTCTCTTGCATGCAAGCATGATACTGGTAGATTATTTTGAAAGGAAGATTTTTACATTTGGTACACAGTATTATTCCATAACACAAGAATGGTACATGAGAACCAAGTATGAATTACATCCCAAATGTAATCATTTACAGTGAAATAATTATTCCTGGCATAGCTGTACTAGGAAACTTCTCTGTGTAAATGAGCCCTTAATCTAAAAATGCATTAAAAATTTAAGATCAGTGACTACTTAAGGAGCTCTCACAGGTCTCCTTAAAGCAAACTTTCTTAGTACGCATGCTGGCTAACCCTCAGAACAAGTTTAGAAAGAAGGAATAGGCCAAAACAGAACCAGAGAATCAGATCTCAGCTTTCCACAGCGGAGTTTCTGCATTAAGAATGCTCTGACTTCAGACCCATCCTTATTTCTGTCAAAGGGCTATTAGCCGACAGTGCTTTAGGTTAGGACTGTGTGACTGGTGGTCTGTGGGCCATCTGCAGCCCCTGGACTCCTGGTCCAGGCACCACTGGACCTGTGAGAGACTTCTCCAGTTTTCCAAGTCCTTTCCCCATCTTTCTCTTGCTGCTGCTGTCAGGGTCTCTAGCCCCACTCCTCCTAGCTTCTGCTCCCCACCCCCGGATGGGGTGAGGCAGGGTAGTCCATGGGGTCAGGGAAGTCTGCAGCTGGGGGGCTTTGAGAGGGCACTGGTAAGGTATACTGGGACTTGCCCACTGCCCAGGCTTGTGTGGAGGGCCACAGCAGAGTGGAGGATGGGGGTAGACTATGTGATGCATATGTGTGGGCGTGGTGCAGCAGGGGGCATGCAGCCCATGTGCCTTTTTGACCCAGGGGGTGCGAGGCCCATGTGGCATGTGCCCAGGGGCATGCAGCCCCTGGCTAGTCAAAACGACATCAAACAGCTTTACAGTATATGTTGGTATATGTGGAGAACTTGGAGAATTCTCTCATAGGTCCAGAGGGCTGACTAAATAAATAATTGTTCTTGACTTGCTTAACAGAAGTGTAATAAAAGCATTAAAATATAGTACAAGTCATGATGTCACTCAGACTTTCTTATCCTCTAGTCCAGGAATCAGAAAGCAGGGTAAGCTTATTGAATGGAAGTTCAGCTTTAGTATAAGCAGAAGCAATCCTCACTGAAAACAGCAGTTGTGCCTGCCTTTCTTTCTCTGCCAGGATTCAGTTTTGTCTATTATAATGCCAGAGAAGTACATAATTTAGACTGATCCTCTTTCTTGTGCAGTTTACCTAATTTTGACAGATGAAGACAAAGTTGGCAGTAAGAAGAGTTGGCAGGGAGGTTGGTAAAGTTCCCTGGTTGGATACTTACTGTCTGGCTCCCAGTACACTCAACCTCTGTGTTTTAAACTTGGCACTGTGTCACTAGGCTCCAGCCTCTCTGGCTCCCTTCCTTGGTGCAAGCTGTCTGTCTCTTACCTTTTCAAGGACCTGGGGCCTCCAGTGCTTGACACCCAAGATAATCTAATAGTTTAAATACATTTTTCCCAGAGCTAGCCTTGTGGGAATTCTGGTTTTTAGACCCCTGAAAGTCTGGAAGTATCATTTGTCCCTGAAGAAGTGAATTCTAAACTCAGTCACCTTTTTAATGTAGTGAATACAGAAAATATACATATGTAGACAGCTTTAATAAATTCCTGCAGAGTTTTCCACCTTCAGTTTCCTCCCCACTCTTAAACATGAGCTTAAGTCAGTGTCCTCTAGGAATCCAGGATCCTTCCTGTCTTCCTTCTCATCACATATTGCCAAGAAAAAGGAAGTTTCTTTTTTGTTCTTGGTTTTTTCTTCTGTCTTTTTCTCATCTCACCTCAGTGATGGCTACCGAGAGACACTATCTTTTATAATAAATCTCCAGTTTCCTTGGTCACTTGGTTGATGTTCCACCAACCAGGTAATCTGCTGCTTAGTTACCCATCATCCTAGAGTATAATAATAATAATAAATCATTTGCCCTAGGCAGTATCCTAAGCAGCAGCCAGCAATTTGTCCAAAGGTCTTTCA